AGGTTTAGACAATTGTCAGCTAATAGTTGTTACCTCACAGCCAGCAGGGGAAAAGAAATGAAAATAGGTATTGCATTTCATATGTTGGAAGGAGCGGACCTTAAAAATCCCTTTGAAATCAAGCTTTTACTTGATAAGATACATAAATCTGAAAGCTAGCAAGAACCTATTTGGGAATGTAGGGATTCCCCATTGCTGGGGCCATTTGTCATTTGTCATGAGCCTGGAGCCTTGTAGAATTAAGTTGCGGTGGTTCTGTCTTCATCTTTAAAAATGTTGTATTTATGGACCGAGCTCGATTTGATGTATGTCAGAAAGTCTCCGATTCTGCTCTCAGCCATTTGCTGACTAATGTCTCCCGCAGAGAATAACAACAAGCAAGTTCATGAATTATGGCTTTGACATTCTCTTATCAAGACTATTTTTTATTTTAAGAGAGTCGGCTTTGATTAAAGCCATTAGAACCAAGAGCAAATAAAACTGTGTCTGGATTTTACATGCCTTGCATTTCATAGCAGGAATCTGATGAAGTCTACATTTTAATTCTTACTTTAGTGAGGCTAGTGTTAAGGACAAACCTTAAAAAATAAACTACTTCCTCCATGGTTTATCCTTATCTACTTTTTCTCAAGAATAGTTGCACTTCTTGACATATCTTGACTGCTGCAAAAATTATTTTAAAAGTCACCTTGTTGAAATATGTGTTGGGAGGTGGGTTAAGAGTGAACCTAGAACCAAAGAAAACAAAAGCAGAGATAAATAGAGACCTCCTGCGGGGGTGGGTGGAGTGGGTGGGGCAGGAGCAGGGATTGGAAGGAGGGAAGAAGAGACTGCGGTGATGGGGGGTGATGGGGCGCAGGCGAATTGGGGAGGAAATAGTGTGGGTCTACATCTGGGGGTGGGGGAGAGAACATTGTATTAAAATCAAGAAAATAAAATCACAATGGAACACAAAAAGCCATATTCTCAAAAAAAAAAAAATAGTGAACCTAGAGATACCAACCCCAACTTATTTTCTATCCACTAATAAGAAATATCCAAGACAGGGTGACACATTATCTAAGATCCACAATGAAGGTGACCTGACGATGATTCTCTGTCCCTTTAAGAGAAAGCTTCAGGGCCTCGCCCTCCTCAGCTAGCCTGCCGTGTGGCTGGTGGCTTGCATTCTTGAAATGGCCCGTGTTTTTCCACGTGAAATCCTCAAATCCTACTGTCACTGTGCTTCACCTTAGCTCTTGAAACGGAAGCTGCTTTGTCTTTATTTCATCTAGCTGGAACCCTGGAGCAGGTAATTCTTCCAACTCCCAGACCCTTTGGCTCTGCCTTTGACCACACTTCCCGGCAAAGCCTTGTTTTTTGAGCTCTTTTATCTGTCTGCCTTCCCTACCTCCACAGATGGGTCTTGATTTTCTTTTCATCCACTTTCTTTTTCTCTTCCAAGCCTGCACTCTGGAAATCTCTATACACATGGGACTTTCCGCTTTGCCTTTCTCTTCTGTTCCCGGCCCGCACAAGTCTCCCTGTGCGTGTGGAACTGGAATCTCACGTAGGAGGGAGCCGACTCCTGGCAGCTGCTGTGTCGGCTTTACAGAGCAGCAGAAACAGCAACACAATTAATGACAGTATTTCTTACTGTGGATAATGGCCTTTGTATTAACTGGCAGCCAGGACGTTTGGCTGTACCTCGTGCACCAGACATTCTCTGCATTAACTCTCTCCATCGTCTGTCAGCTTAGATCTGTCAAGTACCCACTGACCAGTGGATGAGACTGCATTGACCGAATTGTGTTTCTCCTAAATCACTTACCTCTTGGACGAGAGCACTCAAGCTCGGTTGGGACTACTGGCTTGGGATCCAGTAAGCTTTCCATTGTCTTTTTCCCATGACATTTGGAACTTCACTTTGACTTCTGAAGCAGTGAACTAAGGAAATACTAGCTTAAGAACAAACTTGCCGTTACAGACTTTGTATATTCCTGTGCTGGGCTGATGCACATTAAGCTGTGAATGATCTTTGATTTGGGGTACACGGAGCTATAGATATGGGGTGCAAGATAGCTGCATTTAAATTTCGAGTGGGTAGAGAAAGTTCTAAGTTCAGCTGCCTGTGGGCTTGGCTGAGTGAGTGGTCAGCAAGTCACATGATTCCTTTGGTCCTGTGCCAGCACACTGTAGGGGGGTGGGGAGGAGGCCCTTGTTCTCTTGGGTCCTGGAGTCTTTGGGGACCCCGAGGTCTGTGTTCAAAGTGAGACTGAACACAGACTATTTTGCAAGTCAGTGGGACAACCCAGGGTGTGCTTTGAGCAGGCTGAGTGATGGGATAATTAGAACCAAGTGGACAGCGGGGTGGATGGTTTGTCTGCAGATAATAGCTTGTTTGCTAATTGCCAACACCAGATTTTCTGGGCAATTAGACATTTGGTTTGTTCCAAGACCTTCTGTGCAAACGTGGACACATGGCCGCAGGCCTTCAAGGTAGCAGGTGGACAGAGGGTGCCTCCCCGAGCAGAATGGCCTCTCCTGTTGGCTGCCCAAGGGACCTCTCACCAATAGCTGGGAGAACCCTCTAACTGAGTCCCCTAGTGGAGAGGCTGGCTTTCTCCTGCTGCCCTTGTGCTGGGGAATTAGCAAAGGAGGTGCTAATTCTCCACTCTCTTTTGAAGAGCCCTGAGCCATGGATCTAATAGGAATCAGAAATCACACCCGTTCCCAGATGAACATGTTGATTTTTTAATTAAAAATTTTTTAGGGCTCTCTCTGATGGCACAGCGGGTTAAAGCACCACATTATGAAGCTCTCCAAAGCCACTGCAGGACGAGTTCCATTCCCGAGTTCCATCCCCAGCCAGGGAGCTGACCCACATGGCACAGCAGACCTCTCTACAGCTCCCCTCAGCAGTATACTTTGTCGATCTGCCTGTCCTGCTCCCCACTCTGTCCCTGGTGAATCCTCTCACCCCCCACAACTCTGGCCTGTACCCCAGTTCTTGTATGCATAAATAAATCTTAAAAAAATTTTATTGTAGCAAAGTATCTAAATATAAAATCTGTCACTATAACTATTTTTAAGCACAAAACTCAATGGCATTCAGTACACTTACAGTATTGTGCGACCATCACCACTGTTTCCAAAAGAGAAACTCTATCCCATTAACCAATACTTCCCCATTCTGCTCTCTACCCAGTCCAATAACCTCTAATCTGATTTCTTTCTTGCTAGATGCATAGATCACAATGACTGTACCATATGTGTTTGGTGGAGTGCACGATATATAAGTACATATGTGTGTGTCCTAAGTTCTTCACATGCTTGCCAACACTTCTCATTTGCATTTTCTAAATTAGAGTCAGCCTTGTGGAGGCCTTGCGAGATAATATTTCACTGTGGTTTGGCTTTGCATTTCTCTAATAACTAATAATGTGAAGTGTCTTTTTCTATCTTTTAAAAAAGATTTTTATTTATTTATGCATACAAGAACTGGGGTACAGGCCAGAGGTGCGGGGGGGATCAGAGGATTCACCAGAGACAGAGTGGGGAGCAGAACATGCAGATCGACGAAGTACACTGCTGAGGGGAGCAGCGGGCGGGTCAGGAGAGGCCTGCCGCACCCTGTGGATCTCCTCCCTGGCCGGGGATTGAACTCCTGCTGCAGTGGCTACGGACAGCCTCATAGTGCTGCACTTTAACCTGTTGCACCACCAGGGAGGGCCCGAAGTGTCTTTTCATGTGCTTGTTGACCATTCTGTATCTTCTTCCAGGGAAGGTTTATTTGCTTACTTATCAGTACATCCTGCTTCTGTCCCCTTCTCCCAGAGGTAGAAAACAAGCCTTACCAGGAACAGAGACCATTAGCAGAGTGGGGAGGCAGCTGTGTAGGCTGGAGACTGCGAGTCCATCTTTCCTGAGACATTTCAGCCCCTTGGCCCTTCTGGACCCATGGTAGTGATGCCGTTTGAGTTCTCACCCTAGGGGAAAAGCTTTTGGGGTTCCCGGGGAGGCAGACAGGCCTTTCTCAGACACGGTATACTCTCTGCTGTTCTCTTAACAAATTATCCATTTCTTCCTGCCAGGTACTGCTGTGTGCAGAGTGGAGCAGTGTTTGCTTAGCCTCCAGGGCAGTGGTATCTATCTGCAGCCGTTCTGGTCTGGCCATTGGCCCTAGTGGGATCCTGTAGATTTTGCTCTGCTAACCCTGCCTGCCCTGGGTAGTGGGCAGGAGAGCAGCAGGGCACTTTTAACACTGACCATGGACAGTGTCACTTCTTGGGTGCTCGTTCCTGAGCAAGATCCACGGGCCCTGCAAAGTTGCAGAATCAGCGTCTGTGTGTGTGTGATGATCCCAGAGCAGGACAGACAACAGCAGACCCTCCATCTGCGGGGCCCACGCAGGCTCGTCTACCTGTCTGCCCTGGGTTTTCTTTTTGAATGTCAGAAACACTCAGTATCACTGAAAAGGGATGTGTTTGCCATCATCTATCTGGTGGAGCCTGCTGCCAGCGGGAAGGAGAAAGTGATGTATTGATTAAACCAGAAAGTTCTTTCTGGAAGTTGCAGTCATGTCTTTTATTCTAGGGTAGGGGTGGTGAGCTTTGGGGGAGTGCTACATCTCTTTGGGACTCTGCAGGAGGTAGATGGTCTTCCACAAAATGCACACCTACGCTTGTTGGCACCTCATGGTTCTGCAAGTTGCTGTTGTTCAAGATAGCACAAGGGTTAAAGCCAGTTCTGCAGAAGCATGAGCAGGACTGTGGCTTTTGGGGCGTGGGCAGTGTCTGCCAAGAGGTTTGGTGAGAGGCCTGGTGTCACTGCTAGTAAACGAACACTTCATTCTATCAAGGTATACAATACAACTCCTAGGGGTGCTGAGCCGGACACCCCACCTGCATATGTGGGCTGCAGCCTTTGCCACCGCTTTCATCTCTGCAGGAGCACTGTCTCCTCCTGCTTAAGCTCCCAGGCGCCTCTGCTAAAGGCCTGTACTTTGTTTTTCCTTTCAGAAACGGCCCCCACATCTGCATATTCATCTCCAGCCCGGAGTCTGGGGGACACAGGAATAACACCTCTCTCCCCTTCCCATATTGCGGTAAGGAATGCGTGCTTATGTGCTGACCACCTTTGTGTTCTGGATCTGCTCTCTGTGCAGCTCGAAGCCCCTCACCTTCATTCCTGGGGGGATTATATTGCCCTGTTACAAGCTCTTGAGCCTTGCCAAGCAGCTCTCCTTCACTCCCCTCTATCATCCCCCCTTCCCGGCCGCCCCCCCCCCCCAATGCTGAGCTCGAAAGGGGTTTCTTCCATGGAGTGGCTGGTACTTTGGAGTCAGTGGCTTGGGTGGGTAGGAAGAGCAGGTGTGGCGGAGTGGGGGTGGGGGCGCAGTAAGCAGGTGGGGGAGTCAGCCCTTTAAAGATTCAGAGCTTGGAGACAGCGAGGCCCCATCTGGCTGTGGATCCGTGAAACATGGTGTTGTCAACGGCAGTAACTGCTGTGCCCCAAATCTGGGGTCACAGCACTCCTGCAGCGGCTGGAGAGAGGGCTGAGGTGGGTGTGCTGGCAGTGAGAGGTCCGGGGATTGGGGTCTGACCCCACCCATTCCCCATGACAAGAGAATATTGTGCGCAGCCATTGAAAGGGGTGCACTGTAGCCAGCCCAGGAAAAGGACCCGGGGAGAGGCGGCTTTGCCGGTGGTGAGCTGCTCAGATCTGCAAGCAGGACCCCCAGAGACGAACTTGGAGCCAGGCTTTGGGTGCTGCATGCCCCACTTTGAGAGAATTGCTCCGTTTGACACTGCAGGTACTGCGCCTGGGAGTAGCAGCCCAGGAGGCCAGGCCCTCCCCAGGTCCCCAGAGTTCCCTGCCAGACCTTCAGGGATGACCTTGGGGGGCTGACGGGAGTCTAGCCAGGTGGGCTCTCACGCCTGCTCTGCCAAAGCTGCAGTCTATTGATTTTATCAATTTTAATTCTGCGAGTATTCAAAAGCTACAGCGCTTTCGAAAAGGAGGGCGGAGGCCCATCGGCACCACCCCCATGTCCAGCCTCCTGGCTGAGGACACTAGCGTGAGTCTGCACGTTTGCTCCAGATGTTGAGTCCGTGGATACCTGACCACACTCGACATGTATTCTCTGAACTGGGGGTTAGCGGCCAGAAGCCACACGGAAGGTGCCCTGGGGACCCCAGGGCTGCGGCCCCAGGTGTCGAGTTTGGATGCAGGCCTCTGAGGCAGAGTCCGCCTCCTCCTGCTTCCCAGCTTTATTGCAATGGAATTGACATCGCGACACCCCAGTGTCTAGGTTGAAGGTGTCTGATGTGGTGATCTGGCACTTTGCTGAGTGAATAAGGCTGGGAGAGCAAGACAAATTCTTGCATGCACGATCTCCTCACGCGAATCGACCCCACCAGCTGGGGCACCCCCATGGGTGCGGGGATGGTGAGCCGAGAGAGAGCTGGACCCTCCCTCCCGCACAGCTTGTCCCTTCTTCCCCGTTTGCTTTACAGTAGCTTTGATGAGGGCCTGATAAAAGAAAAACATGACTATTTTTCTTTAAACATTTTGAAAAAGAAATGCAGGAAAATTCTGAAAAGAGGTTTTGGAACCTGGAATGGCCTGGCCCACTGGCTTGCAGCCGGGTCTGACAGGGTCCTGTGTGATCGAGGCAGGACCGGCAGGACCCGGCACACGAGTGGGGGTGGTCACCAGAGGCCTGTGCAGGGACTGAGGGCAGGGGGGGTCGCTGGCAGCCTTGTGTCGCCGGGCGCCCAGCCGTGAGTGAGCTGGTGGGTGGAGGGAAGCTGCAGGTGGGAGCCACAGCCGGTCAGCCTGGCCCTGCACCCGCACACCTCCATTGTCCCCGAAGCTCACGGCAGACTTGAACTTCTGCTTGCTGGCTGGGCAGGGTGGCACCAGCTGTGTGAAAGCCAAATCGGGCCACTCTGCCCCACACCCTGTCCCTGGCTATGTCTGCAGAACGATGCCGACCCCAGCGTCTCAGAACAGCAGGTGTTTCTGGTGGTGGTGGCCATCGACTTCGGGACCACGTCCAGTGGCTACGCGTACAGCTTCACCAAGGAGCCAGAGTGCATCCACGTGATGAGGTGAGGAGGCTGCGGGTAGGGAGTGCAGGCCGGCACCCCCCGGACCAGGGGAGGGAGGCCTGGATCCTGCCCCCGCTCAGCCACACTCACGGGCCAGGTTGGGCAAGCCACACTCCCCAGGGCCCCAGTTCTGGCCTGAGAGATTAACTCCAGGGTTGTCGGTCTGAGGCAGGGCCTGGGCAGTGTGCTTGAGTCCTGCCTGCCGCTTGAGTGACAGGCGTCAGGCCAGGTGGCATGCAGGTGCCAGTGCTGCATCACCGCACCACCTTAGTGTCTCGCTGAGCCCCGCAAACCTCGTTCGCAGCCTCCCCATCTGCGAAGTGGGGCTACGCCAGCAGCTTCTCACAGGTGCGTGTGCGGTGAGATGAGATTTCCTACCAAGCCGGAAGGAGCGAGTTCTCTCTGGCGAAGCGAGGTCGTGGGAGGGCAGCATTAGGAAGCATGGCGTGCCAGGGCTAAGAAAAGCCTGGCGCCTTCTCAGGGCTGCCCCGGGTCTCCAGGGACATGCCGTCTCCGCAGCCACCTTGCGCACAGCAGCTGCACGCCTCCTCTCACCCCGTCCACACCTCATCCACTGCCCGCTGCACTCCGGCTAGCCTGGCACTGCGTCAGCACCCCCAGATGCCCTTGGCCTTCCTGCAGGTCTGCAGCCCCCAAAGCTTTGGGAGCCAGGGCCTGATCCCCCTGGTTCTCCAAAGCCCTGACTCTGAAGATGCCCCTGAGTCAGCCTTGCACTGAGTTGTCGCTCCCAGGCGAAGCGGTTTGTTAGGGCTTGTTTCACACATGAGTGCTCCCCACCCAACCGTGGGTCAGGCCCTGCATTTCCTCTTGAAATCTAAGTCCTGCGAGGTGACAGAGACCTGGGGATACCGGCCCCTGATGCCTCCAGCGGAGCCTGATGGCAGCGTGGCCCTCCGCCCCTCCCCCACCAGGTTCTGCCTCTGCTGGCTGGGCCTGGGGAAGCCGGCGGAGAAGGACACGCTATTAAACACGAGAATCAGGGTGTGCAGATTCTACATAGGTTGTTTTAAAAAATAGTGTTTCCAAGGAGTCGTCAAACAATGGAACACAAAAACCAACCAGAAAATAACTTTGAACTTGGCAGAATTGAGGGTCTCGCAATGCGATGGCTATTGTGAGATGACTCCATGGTGAGAGTCTGCAGGGGTTCTACCTGTTCTACCTGGATTTGACGTCTGTCGGGACGTGTCACACCGAGGACACACGCTGACAAAGCTACCCGCAAGAAGGTTTGGTTCTTTGGATTTCAATAGAGACGAAGGGATAGAAACCAGAAGGAAAAAACTCAGGGGTTCTGCTAACACTGGAAGGTCAGTGTCAGCAGTAATGGGGAGTCCTTGTGTGGCGTGCACCCCTGGCCGGGCTCATCCTGTCGCTCTGCGGGGTCCCCACGGGGCTCTGGCTCCCGCCGAGAAGCCTGAATCCTGCAGCTTGTCTGGAAACCAGCCAGGGAGGTGCAGGCCCCTCTGTGCGGGGGCCAGCAGGGTGGCGTTGGCTCCCATCTGGGTGCTCGGCCCACGGAGCTTAATGAGGTGCTGGGAGCAGGTGTGAGCACAGCCCCCCGAGATGCACCAGAAGGACAGGGTCTTCCCCACCTGCGGCCACTCACCTGGCCAGTGGCAGGGTGGAGGGTGTCAGGGCCCGGGGGAGAGAGCACCCCGACCCCTCAGGAGCCCTGGCGTCTCCGCTGCGGCCCCCAAAGAGGGAGAAGCGTCCAGTCACCCCACCCCGCCGCCCACCCCCGCTCTCTTCCGGCCTCCTCCTTTCGATCTGAGAGGTGGAGGAAGCTTCCCTGGGGCCCAGGCTACCCACCCTCCTTTCTTGCTGCTCGCATGAGCTCCAGGTTGCAATCCCCTCACACCCTCCACAGTGACCGTCTCAACCCCCTGCGCTGCGGCTGTCACCCATATGGAGGAGCCCGTGCTGACCCCTGCCTCGCTGCTTGGCCCTTTCCTGTTTCTTTTTGGCTGAAATGGGGCCTCTAGCCGCTACTCAACCAGCTGCACCGGGGTGCACCTGCAGCGGCCGCCATAAGCTGCACCCACTTCTCTCAGGCGTGCGTGCAGACACTAAGTGCTCAGACAGGGGACCCCACTAATGTCCTGTCATCTCTGCCTTCCTCGGTGGCAGGCGATGGGAAGGGGGCGACCCCGGGGTGTCCAACCAGAAGACCCCCACCACCATCTTGCTGACTCCCGAGAGGAAGTTCCACAGCTTCGGGTATGCCGCCAGGGACTTCTACCACGACCTGGACCCCACCGAGGCCAAGCAGTGGCTGTACCTGGAGAAGTTCAAGATGAAGCTGCACACTACTGGGGTGAGTGTGCCCTGCCTGGCCCCAGGTCCTCGCTGTTGAGAGACAACGACCCTCTAGCCTTGGGGCGTCTTTCCAACCCAGGGCGGCCTCGGGTTCCTCCCATGCGGGAGCCAGGTCCATTTATCTGGACTTTAGAAGGCAGCTGGAACCCTTCGTGGGATGCCCGGTGCTCTCAGATGCCTGTACGGGCAGGAAATAGCACATTGGACAACTTGCTTGCCTTGGAGCTGACCCATCAGAGTGGACACTGGCCAGAGACTGGACATTGGGCCTTGGGGCCCCTGCCGTGCTAGGAGCTCTCCCTTCTGTTGCTGGGTTGTTGCGAGATTGGGGGGTCCTGGAGGAGGAACTTGGGGACTGGAGAACAACCAGGGGCCCAGAGCAGTATCTGTTGTAAACTAGCCAGCGTGGAAATAACAGCCAGTGACGAGGGGCCCGTGAACCTCTGTGTTGGAAGAGGGGCGCAGGAAGGCGTAATGATTGGAGCCCAACACCCAGAGCAGCTCTGCTCCCACACTCCCTCATGCTGGGGTCCTGCAAGATGTCTGAGTCCCTGCGGCCCCTCCCCAGGCCTTGTGGGAAAGATTGGGCCGCAGAGTGCAGGTTTTCCAATGGAAGCATTTTACCCCATGACTTTTCTTCGACTCTCGGTACTTAGAGACGGTGTTTAAGACCTCGACCTTCAGGCCAGGCAGCCTGGGCTTAAATCCTTCATCCAAGTCTCTTGACCTCGTTGTACTTTGTTTTCACCTTATCAAAAGTTGGAAACACTGATGGTGCCTCTCACGTGGATGTCGTAACGACTCAAAGAATCCACACAGAACCATGTCTGGTTGACAGTACATCCCGCTGCCCCATCTTCAGTTGCTTCCCTGGGTCTGCTGAGCAGTGTGCAGCAGTTAACACAGGTTACAAGGAAACCCCGCAGCCGGCACCTGCCCGCGAGGCTCTGTGCTCATGCTGGGGTTTTCTCTGTGATGCCCACACGCTTGTGCTAGAAGCGCATCCTCTGTCCCGCCATGGGGTTCAGGCCGAGCAACAGCCCTGTGCAGGTGGAAGCACCCCCAGGGGGGTGGTGGGTGTCCCCATGGGACACCTGGGGTGGGAGGCGTGCGTGTCATATCTGTGCAGGTGGCAGGCAGGAGACTGACATCCTCCGCCAGGCCGGTTTAGCAGCTGATGCCCTCTCACCCTGCAGGCAAAGCCTAATACCAACCCCGGGCCGATCCGGACACCCAGACGCCCCTCTGATACCTTCCCCGGCAGCCATTCTTGTTCATACGAGACTCACACTCTCTGCCCGCACTCTGGGGACCTTGTCATTTTTGAATGGCCTCAGTCCCCCAGCATCTGGGCCCTCATGGACAGCCTCGCCCAAGGACCAGAGCTCACTGAGCAGCTGTGGAAGCTTCTGGCAGAGAAAGGGAGGCAGTAATGTTCGGCTCCCTGAGATCTGGCCCAGGACTGTGCAAGCCTTGAAATAGGAGTTTTCTATTCTGGGGACTTGGCTGGCAGCTCAGTGGGGAAATGAGAGTGTCATGTCTGTTTAGGATCATGCAGCCGGAATGATTTAGAACTCCATTAGGGGGGCTCCCAAGGGGGCCAGTTCTGTCCGCTTGTGGAAATCGCTTGTAGTTCTTATTGGCAATGGCCCTGACTGCTTTCCCTCTCTTCCTGAGCTCTGACGCTGAGAGAGAGAGAGAGAAGAGGGAGGAGGGAGAAGTGGGTTTAGGGGCTGCAGGAACAGCCACGGCCTCCTTCTCCTATGGGACAGAGGTGGGAACCCTCGGGGGGGTTCCCATTCCCTCAAACACTGGGAAACCCACAGCGGTCTCATGTGTTCCCAGATCTCTAAGCCGCAGCTCCCGGGGCAGAGTCTGGTCTTCTTACTCTGTCCTTTCCCTTCCCCACAGGACCTGACCATGGACACAGACTTAACAGCGGCAAATGGCAAGAAGGTCAAGGCCTTGGAAATCTTTGCTTACGCCCTGCAGTACTTCAAGGAGCAGGCGCTGAAGGTAGGATGAGTACCAGTGCCCGCTGGTTGGAGGGGCTCGGCATGCCAGCTAGGGCGGCAAGGACAGCCTGAGGGCAGTGTAGAGGTTGACTTTGCGAATGCAGGAGGCACCCTTCTGCTGCTGGTGGGAATGGAAAACAGTGCAAACACGGCAGTCCCACTCCTAGGTGGGAACCGAAGAGAAATGAAAAGAAACATTCACACAAAAGCTGGTACTTAGTGTATAGCAGCTCTGTTCAGCTAACAGCTAAAACACGGAGACATCCTGACTGCCCACAGTGGATGAATGGGTAACTCGATGGGAATATTAGTCACTCATGAAAAAGACCAAAGCTCTGAAACGTGCTGCGGCCTGGAGAGTCAGGAGGACACGATCAGCACACGAAGCCTGTCACAGAAGGCCACACGTGTGAGGGGGGTCCAGGGTAGACCAACCCGTGAAGCCAGAGGTAGCTGGGCGATTGTCAGGTGGCACTGAGGAGAGACTGCCCCAGGGGGTGGGCTTCTTGTTGGTGATGAAATCAGCCAATGTGATGTTTGCATGACCTGGGAACATATTAAAACCCACTGAACTGTCTACTGTAACATAGTAGGCAAATTGTATCCATGAAATAACAAAAAAGAAAGGAGACAGCTTAGCAGCTCTGGGATCTGGGTGAGGTGCTGACTCCCTCCGGCACCCACTTTCCTAGTCTGAAGAGGCAGGCAGGCGCCTCCTGGGTGGTTTTACCTTAAGGGAATGTTATAAATGTTGACCTGAAGTACTTCCTTCGGCCGGTGCCTGGCCGGTGTCTGGTAACACTGGCTGCTGCTGCTGCTCTCCCGCTTTGACTGCTCCCTCCACCCCCTCACCATGAGACCATGGAAGAAGCTGACTGTGTGCACCCCCGGCCACCCTTGCAGAGTGTGCACAGTGAGGGCCCAGGTGTGGAATCCACTTCATTTCAAAGTGGATTAATCCACTTGGTGTCCCCCACCCCGGGCGCAGTGATGCGTGGGTATAAGTCAGATGATTAAAGAGCTTTAGCCAGAAAGAACTGGGAACCCCAGAAACGTGGTAATGTGATCACTAGAAGAAATCTGGTGAGTTCTAGAAATACGGTAAATAGAATGGAAATAGACTAGAATTCCAGAAATAGGGTTAGAGAGAGATGGGAAAGTGGGAGCATGTTACCACTTTCATCCATTTACATGTATTTCCTTTAGAGTACTTTGAGGTGCCAGGTTTACACACAGTTCTGGCACCGTAGGAGTAAACTCAGACTGGGGGTAGCCGCTGTCGTGAGGGGTCGCTGGGTGTGGATGAAGGCAGAGACTGCCTGCAGCAGGGAGGGCTCCCTGTAGGAGGTGGCAGGGGCCCTCCCAGGCAGCAACGGGAAGAGGGGGTATTTCAAGTTGGCTGTTCAATGGCACAAGAACAGTTCTAGGAGAAAGAAAAGACAGCAGATGGCCACGGGGAGCACGGAGTTCGGAGTGGGAACGGGTGAGGCTTGGGGGATGGACAGAAACAGCCAGCTGTGAGTTCGAAACCTCAGATGCCAAGGGGAGGGGCTTCTTGGGTAACAGGAATTCATCAAGGGATTCAGGGAGATGCCACACGCAGAGTAGAGCAGGGTCAGGGTCAGAGTTAGGGTCCTGAGGTTTAGGGTAAAGGTTAGGGTCCTGAGGTTTAGGGTCAGGGTTAGGGGCAGGGTCAGGGTCTGGGTCTGGGTCTGGGTGAGGGTCAGGGTCAGGGTCAGGGTCAGGGTCAGGGTCAGGGTCCGGGTCCTGAGGGCCACAATTGGTGGAAGAGGCATGTGGGTGAGAGCTGTGCAGTGGCCCGGATCTGAGCAGGTTTGTCTGGAGGCTGAGGCTGAGGCTGAGAGGGAGTGTGCCACTTGGGAAGCGTGAAAGCCAGGAAGAAAGGGATGGGAAGAAGCCAACGGGGGGAGGGGCCGAGGAGGGGACTTCCCACCGGAAAGAAGGGAAAGTGTAAGTACTGGGAGGCAGGAAGGAGAGGCTTCAGGGCTGAGTTTGCTTTTAGGGAGGCAGTGACCTGGCAAACAGAGTTTAATTAGGCTGCTGGGGCCTGGAGGAGGGCGAGAGGTGGACCCATGTCCAGCTGAAGAGGAAAAGGGTTCGTGAAACTGCATGAAAATCAGACACCTGCCAGGATAAACCCAGCCTGTCTGCTTTCTGACACATGCCCCCAGCGTGTGCAGGGTGGACTGCAGATGTGGGGGTGCATGTGGCTCTGGAAGGGGAGCTGGGGAGAGAAGGAGTGAGCATCTCTGGGGTTTGCTCGGACCTTCTGTGTTCTCATCCAGTCTTGCCGGGGACGCTGCAGGGTGTTTTATTCCCCCATGGAGTCCAAGCAGTATTCCAGAGACATATTTAGCCAACATGGATCCGGTAGAAGCCTCCCATAGTCCCACCCTCCCCACTTAGGAGCATAGCCTTGCTGACGTGATGTGACCTCTGCCAGAGTGAAGGGCAGGATGACTCATAGCTTCCCCTCCTGCCAGGAGGTCCTCTCGGATGCTGGGCTGGCATCCAGGTAGAGGACAGAGATCACCAGCGCCCTCTGCTCCCACCAGGGGCTAAGCATTACTGTGGGTCAGGCCTGGTCCTGGATGTGACTGTGGGCCAGGCCTGGTTCTGGATGAGGCTGCGTCCTATGATTTCATCAAGACCTCGCTCTTTAGAGTCAGGCCGGGCTTGGGCTGTGCCGCTTTTTAGCCGAGTAGCTTCCAAAGAGACACTGAACAGGTCAAGCCTTAGTTTTCCCAGCCACGCAGGCCAAAGCCCTAACAGGCTTCTCAAGTGGGTTCTTGGAGCTGATACATGTGCCAAATCAGTAAGGTTCACGCAGAGCATGGCCTCGGGAACAGGCCTCTTAGAAAACCATCACTCCTGCCAACAACATCAGGAGCTAGGTGTTAGTGCTGTACAGGTGAGGAAGCAGTCTGAGAGGTGGCCACTTGCCCGAAGCACAGCAGGTGGCCAGAGGCCCTGGTCTACCTGCCTCCCGCCTGCAGGCCCACGCAGGCAGTGGGAGCAGCTGGGAGCCCCTGCTTGGCGAATGCGCAGGAATCAGCCTCCTGTTGCCCCAAGCTGTAAGTTCTGGACGCTGCGGCACAGTCTGGGGAGCTCATAGCCAGGGAGCCTGGAGGGCAGGGAAACCCCAGGGGGCCTGCAGTGCCCTTGACCTGTTTCCTCTCCCTCGACTTCAGGAGCTGAGCGACCAGGCGGGTTCGGAGTTCGAGAACGCTGACGTCAGATGGGTGATCACGGTGCCCGCCATCTGGAAACAGCCGGCCAAGCAGTTCATGAGGCAGGCCGCCTACCAGGTGAGCGCAGGCCCAGGGGCCCATGCTGGCTGTCACCCTCTAGTTCCCCAGCCCCCACAGGCCTTCTGGAGTGCAGCCAGGGGGCTCCCATAGGCAGGCGTCTGGAAGGGGCCTTCCTGTTCTGTTTCCTCCTGAGGGAGAAACGGGTTGAAGGGGCCAGGGAAGTCCTGCTTGGGCTTTCTCGATGGTTCAGTCCATTTCCTTCTCCCCCTGGAGGTCTCTGGCTGCGATTTCTGAGACTTTTTTTCTGAGTGAAAGGCAGTGAGATCTTCCTCAAGAAAAAGATGTGAGTCAGGCGGGACCAAAGGGTGGACGGTGTCTTGGGCGGTCAGTTTGCTGTGGGCTGGAGCCGCACAGGCAGCCGCAAGATGAACGGCTGGGTCTTGCGTCCACGCACAGTCACATGTCACCGCCCGAGGGGCGGGGGCTGCCGACCCTCCAGGAGGCAGGTGCCAGCGTGAAGGCTGTGGTGGAGTTTAGGCAGGCGCTGGTCAGCAAGGCTCCCCTGCCCATGACCAGCCATCCCGGGCCCCACGCGTACCTGCCGCACACACCCTCATGGCCCCAGCTCTCCCCGTTGGCCAACAGTGTTCTGAGGGGCTTCCATGAGGGGCACCTGTGTGGTGAGAACAGCCTTTCATGCTGACCTGCCGTTTGAGCCCCAGGACAGAGTTGCCAGGTCACACTGGGTTCACGGACGTCCCCCCAGTGCTGGCCCCACTCTCCGTGCTGAGCTTGGGAAGGTCGTGGGGGTGGCGCTGCCCCCTGGCTCAAGCCCACAGCTTGCCCACTTCCAGGGGCAGACTCTGACCTTGAGCTGATCTGTGTGAACCTTCCCTTCCCAAACCCCCACTGAGTCGAGCCTGAGGCCCTGATACAGTCAGATGCGGGTGCAGAGTGGGGAGCCCTGATGTCTGTGTGCAGTTCCTGGGCCTCCCTCCATGCAGGTAGAGTCCATGAGCGCTGCCTCCTCTCCCTCGCCCTCTCTTTCTCCCTTCCTCCTCTCCCCTCCCCAGACATCTCCTCTGTTCAGCGTGAGAATCTGGCTCCCTCCATGTAGCTGCCAAAAATAGACTTGTTTTTATACGGATGATGGGAGAGGGTGGAGGTTCCAGAGAGGCAATTTCTTCAGAAAAGGAAGGCTCACAAAGGCAGGTTGGCTGTCTCAGGCCCCCGGGCCTGCTGCTCGGAGTGTGGCCTGCGGGCAGCGGTGCCCGGACGGCGGCAGGGAAGGCGGCCGGCAGCGCTGGGTGTTCCCAGGAAGGACCTTCTGGGTTCAGAGCTTTGGCTCATTTTCCAACCCCAGGAAATTGTGACCCGGAAAAGGGTCAGTTCTTATTTTTAGCCCAAAAGAGAACAGTGGCAGCTGGGCCGGGGCCTGCCTCTGAGCAGGTGGGGGGAGAGGCCCCTCACATCGGGTGGGGCACCCCGGAGGGCACCAGGCAGGGGCGTGGTGTCCGCGGGGGTTGGAGGGAGCAAGTGACACCCCGAAGGGCTGCGGTTCCCACGAGGGCCACGTCCCCAGCACGAGTGGGTGGAGTTCGCTTTCTGAAGACCCCAGACACAGTGTAGGCGAGATTAGTCTCTTCTTGCTGGGTAACTCTTGTCTTATTCTGTGATTGGCAGCTACTCTTTGGCCCTTTGTAATTCTGATCCTTTCTTCTTTTTAAAGATTTATTTATTTATGCATACAGGATTGGGGTACAGGCCAGACGTATGGGGAGGAGGGGTGAGAGGATTCACCCGAGACAGAGTGGGGAGCAGAACAGGTCCACTGAACTACACCACTGAGGGGAGCAGCGGGCGGGTCAGGAGAGGTCTGCTGCGCCCTGTGGGTCACCTCCCCTGCTGGGGATAGAACTGGTGCCCAAGCGCCTGCGGACACTTTGTAGTCCTGCACATTAACCCCTTGCGCCACCAGGGAGGGCCCCTGATTTGATCCTTGTGTGCCTTTTACATCGCTGACAGGACTGAAAGGTGGTGGGGCCATTTTGTGCTTCACGTCTTGGCTCATGAAACAAGCCAGTCCCAGGTCTCTGTGCACCAGGGGTTTATGTCCAGGGGCCAAGATGGGCCAGTTCTCAAGTGGCTGGAAGCTGAGCGATGAGTCCACTGAAAGCCTTGGCACCTCTGGCAGACGCCAGAGAGGGCACATTGGGACACCACTGTTTGCCGACTTCTCTTCGGCCTGTTCTCCTGGCCTCGGGAGAGTCACCAGGGAAAAAATGGAAATGAAGTTTGCTACTATGTGACCAGAATTAGCATCTCTCCAACTCTCCCTCCTCCCCCTCTTTACTGCACAGAGTAAGGAAGATGAATGCCTCGGATGGTTGATTTTATGTGTCAGCTTGACGGGGCCAAGGCAACCCAGAAATCTGGTCAGACATTCTGGGTGTTTCTAGGAAGGTGACTTTAGTTGAGATTAACATTTACATCAGTTAAATGAGTGGGTGGATGGGCCATCCCTGAGGGGGGTGGGCCGTGTCCAATCAGTTGAAGAACAGAGACGCGCCTCCCCAGACTCAGAGGGAATGCCTCCTGTCCGACTGCCTTCAAACCGGGGCAGCCTTTCACCCTGCTTCTGGGCTTTCACGGAAACACAGGTTCTTTCTGGGCCTTAAGCCTGCCAGCCTGAAGAAGGGAATGATAGCTCAGCTCTCCTGGCTCTCCTGGGTCTCAGGCTTTAGGGCTCAGGTACCTTCAGCTGTAGACCTTGGAACTTAGCCTCAGAACGGTGTGCACCAACTGCTTATAAAGAAAGTCTCTTCGTCTGCAGGCCTACCTCCCGCTGGCTCTGTCTCACTGGACACCCCTGGATTGGGCCAGCCAGCTTCAGGGGCCCGAGGGTACTCACTTGGCCACAGCTGTGTGCCCGTCACTTTTTGTTTCCTTCAACGAGGCAGGTGTTCATTTCCTTCTGCACGGTGGAAATTGTCCACTGATCCTTCCACCCAAAGTGTTGTCCATTTGCCTGACAGATGGACAGGCAGAAGAGTCAGAGGAAGAGGAGGGAGAGGTACTCGCTCAGGGAGGCTAGAAGATGCCTCATGTGCCAATGGGGAAGGAGGCCCAGGTCCACAGCCCCACAGAAGCTGGGCTTCAGGCTCCCACTGACTGGTAGTGGGGGTGGGCGTGGGGGACGGCCTGGATGCAGGGTGGGGGAGGGGCAGTGCAGCATCCCCACAGGGTGGCTGGGTCTGGGGTCCCTCACTCAGGGGTCTGGGATTCATGATCAAGCTTACACCGACACTTCATCTGCAAAACCCAAAAAGTCCTCTTACATTAAAGTACATGTTGAGCAAGTAGGTCAAGCCTCCTCCACCAGAGTGCACAGCTTCTGGCCACCTGGACACCCTCTAAGGGTGTTCAGAGGGCTGCAGGGAAATCAGTGGATCCCTCTTCCAGGGCTTCAGAAAAGACTCAAAAGGGGAGCTCACCCCTGGATCCTGGAGGGCATCCGCTCTATTTCCAGATGCTCTTTGTCTAAAATGTGTCACTCTGGTAGGTTCCAGAGCCCTGCGCAGTAGAAACTCTGTCCCCAGTACGGTGACCTCATCTAACATGACATTGTCACTGGCATGTGCCCGCCCTTCCCAGCAAACTGCAGTGAAAGGTGATCAAACAGGAAACAGGACTCGCGGCCACCTGTGACGCCAGCCGGGGTGGCCGTGGCCCTTGTCGCTGGAGCACGGCCAGCGGCGCTCAGCTGGTCTGGCTGTGTTCCTAGGCCATGGACACTGTGCTGGGGGGTTTTCCCGAAGCACAGCAGAGCCGGGGAGCCGAGACGCCCATGTGTCCCCAGCCTTCCTGGGGGGAGGTTTTCTCGCCCACCTGCCCCTCCCAGTGGGGCTTGTGACCACAGGGGAGCACCCTAGGAGAACGAGAGAGCTCCTGCTGGCCAGACCCCAGAGTCGGCTGGGGCGGTACATGCCTATTCACATCCTGTGTCTGTAGACACGTCAGAGCCGGGAAATGGCCAGTAGAGGCTGTGGACAGATGGTCGGTTTGTTTCTTCAGCATCTCCGCTGCATGCTACCGCTGCCCTGAGAGAAACACCATCTTGCCCGCAACCAGACCCGTCTGCTTGCATCTGGGGCTGGAAGCAGAACCTGCAGAGTGCTGGCCGGGGAGCTCTCTGCAGACCCGCAGCGGGAGATGCCAGCCGGCGGCTGAACTAGCAATGCCAGAGGGAGCCAGAGGGTGCCCTCACCCAGCAGAGATCCCCAGTCTCCCGCTGGCTGCCAGGCCCCTGGCTTCTGCTGGGAAGAGAGCGGGCTCACGCTGGAGCGAGGCCTCTCTCCGGCGCTGGTCCCTTCCGCCCAGAGACCAGCAGCTGTGTCCTGGCCCTCTGGCTCTGCTGTGCCCACTCCTTTCTGTGCCCACCGTGGCTCTGGAGCCCTCCTGCGGTTGAATCTGTCCAGAGACAACTTCCTCCTTTCTCACCCCGAGCTCCTACAGGGGCCTCCTTGGGAGTTTGCTGCAGGGGACGTGGCCTCTCTCCAGCTGAGGACAGTGAAGGGGGCAGCTTCGAGCACCAGCTCAGGGCTACTCTGCCAGATAATGCGGGCACCCCCACCCCAATATAGGGTCCGCTTCACCTCTGCTGCCTGTCTGTGCTAGAGAACCCCCTGTGGAAAAGGGTCCAGGCTTTGGCTGAGAAGGGAGCCCAGCAGGGATGGCCCCCATATGGGATGGCCCTTGCTGTTGGGGGAAGGCTGGGCTCTGGGTCGGTGGCTGTCCATGGGGCTCGTCTCCTTGGTTTGTCAGTCACACACGGGCACCTCAGCCGCCCAGAGCTGAGCTGTCTGGGTTTGGCTTCTGCACAGACAGTTCACAGCCAAACGCCTGCTGGGACCGCGGGGCGGCTGGGCAGGGCAGGGCGCTGGATCTGCTGCTTCCCCCTCTGTGTGGAGAAGCCTCTGGCGTGATGAGTCAAAACCACGCAGGTGGTCATCCTCTGACAGGAGACACAGCCACCCACACGGGGTCACAGGTCCCCCAGCAGCCAGGCACCCACAGAGGGAGGTGAACCCCATGGGGTGATTTTTTAAAAAGATTTATGTATTTGTGCATACAGAACTGGGGTACAGGCCAGAGGTGCAGGGGCGGTGAGAGGCTTCACCAGAGACAGAGTGGGGAGCAGAGCAGGCAGGTCCATGAAGTCCACTGCTGAGGGAGCAGCGGGCGGGTCAGGAGAGGTCTGCCGCGCCCTGTGGCCACCTCCAGAGGGGGAGTCAAACTGGTGCTGCGGTGGCTTCAGCATCTCAGTGCTGTGCCCCACCCCGCTGCGCCAGCAGGGAGGACCCACCAGGGGACGATTCTCACTGAAGTTTGTTTCAGTGTCACACAGAGGACGCAGGGTCAGAAGAGGGACAACCTCAGTCCCCAGACCCGGGGCGTCAGGAGCAGGCTGGGGAGCAACGAGCTGGGGAGCAACGAGCCGGGGAGGGGCAGTGCCTGCCGGGTCATGGGGGCCGGAGGGGCAGGCCGGGAGCGACGCCCGCCCCTGACGAGGGGGTGACGTGGAGGTCACTGACTCAGCCCAGCTCAAGGGGTGACCTTGAAGGGGCCCGGGGAAAGCAGAGCAAGGGGCTAGCGGCGCCACCTGGCCAGGTCCGCCCTGGTGTGAGAGGGGCGAGCCCCGTGACCGGCCCAGACAGCGCCTCGTGAGGCCAGAGCTATTGTTCTCATCACAGCCTCCTGTCCCCAGCCAGGCCCAGGCCTGGTTGGCCTCTCAGTGGACCTGACGGCAGCCACGCGCCCTGAAGCCACGGAGCCTCCAGCGAGGGCCAACCTCCTCCAAGTCCGCTCTGCATCCGGCTCTGAGAGGCTTAGGCTGTAGGCCCAGCGGGCGGCTCGCTTTCCCCCGTCCTCACGGCTGGGTGGGAGCTGGGCCTGGACAGGCCACGGCATGGGGGAGCCAGGCCACCTATTTTGAGTTTCTCCTAACTGGGGCCAAGGCCAGGCTAGAGGCTGCTTTCCCCGAGGGCCTCACGCTTGGGTCTGCAGCCCACGGAACGGGCCATTCTTTGGGTCGGCAGTGCCATGACTAGAATGTGCTTGAAGCCACAGAGCAGGAGCACAGGGGTGCTCCTGTTACAGGGGTGAAGGTTGCAGGTGAGATCACTTCTGGCTGAACCCCCCTCTGGCCCCCCGCCCCAGTGAGGCTCTAGGAGGCGCTTTCCCCAGGCGAGCCCCGCCCAGCAGAGGCTGAGTGGCATCTGAGGGCTGGCCACGGCACTTCCGTAGCCAGCAAAGCAAGCACCGAGCGTGGGGGTTGCTGCCCCGGCTCAGACTGCAGGCATGTTGAAACAGACCACCTGCCTCCTGCTAGGCTTGCTGGTTCAAGGTTTGGGGGCCTTGGCCTGCTTTCTGCTCCCCAGTTTGGGCCAAGCAAGCCCCTAGAGCAAGACCTCCCATGACCCAGAGTGCTTATGTGTTTCACTTGGCATAGGGGTGTTTGGGTGCCTGCCTTGGGGCCCAGCCTCCGATCACCCCTGACTTCAAGTTCCGCAGAGCCCTGTGGAAGGAATTTCCCTGGGAGTCAGCATAAGGCATCGGGTCCTCTGCGTGGGCCTGCCCAGGGGCCCGGTCCAGCCTCCACTTCTGTCTTGCAGGCAGGCCTGGCCTCCCCCGAGAACTCGGAGCAGCTCATCATTGCCCTGGAGCCCGAGGCCGCCTCCATCTACTGCCGGAAGCTGCGCCTGCACCAGATGATCGAGCTGAGCAGCAAGGCGGCGGTCAATGGGTACAGCTCCAGTGACACAGTAGGAGCCGGGTTTGCACAGGGTACCTCCGGCTCTCTCTCCCCCTCCCTGCTCGCCCCGCTCCCACCTGCATGTGTCTCTGCCTCGGATTAGCGAAAGGCGCTGGGTGCTGCAATGCCATCCTCCCAGAGAGGAAGCTTGAGCCCCCGTGGGCCCTGCCCCAGTGCCCAGCCCCTGCCAGGAACCCCGCGCACCCAGCCGTGGTTCTCTGGTTCTTCAACCACCCAAGTGCCGTAGGAGGGGGCTGCTTCTCTCCAGGAACCTGAGGAAGCAGGGCTGGGCTGCCCGAGAGCTGCTGTTGACTTTGCCTTTTACTAGGCTCTTCATCCTTCTTGTCTATTAACTGCTTCTTAATCTAATCCCACTTGCCTGTTATTAATTCCTCCATTAAGACTGTTGATTTATTGTTGACTCACTCACGGGGGCCGCTTTGTGTGTGATGAGCTCATGATGTGTCTTTGCTGTGAAGCGAGCGAGAGTGTCAGCCCCAGATGAACAGGGCTGTATTTTCCTGACCCCTGGCTGCTCACTTAGCCCCGGGGAGGAGCCCAGAGAGACCCCGGCACGTGTTTTAGGAACTTTTCCCTTTTAACACTTACCTGGATGCAAGTTGGCCACAGTCTTGGCCCAGGACTGTTCCCCTGAGATGTACCACTCCGCCGGTCAAACTGGGGCCGTTGGCTTTGCACACACCCTGGCTCAGGGTCAAGGTCACAAGGAACGACCAAGGGTGCTGGCCAGGAGCGCTGTGGGGGAGCAGGTTTGCCTCCATTTGGGGCAGAAACTCACCTGTCCCCTGTGCCCTGCCTCATGCTGCCCCAGGAGGCCCAGGCCCAGGAGCAGAGGGCTGAGCCCAGTGTTGTGTCCTGCAGCCTCCCTGGTCCTGGGGGTGGGGCTGTCTGCTCTCCCCAGGCGCTGGGGCTGCCCCCGCCCCTTGCAGGCACATTCCACTGGCGCAGCGGCTCCCCCAGGCTTCTGGTCCTCCTCCCAGGGAGACTGCCCCAGCGGCCCCGTCCTGCAGCTTCGAGGCCAGATTTGGAGTCTGAGGCGCAGCCCCAAGACAGCGTCCATGTTCAGTGTCCCCAGGCTGCTGCTCAGCCTTCCAGGGCTGTGAGCCCCCACATCTGACTGCCCCGGAAGGAATGGGGCCAGCTGCCCCTTTAAACCTGAGGGCGTGATTGCCTTTCCTAGCCATGCCTGCCCACCCCGCGGCACCCAGACACGAGCTTGATGCCACTGAGTCTGTGCACGAAGGTTCCCAGCGCTCCCTCCGCGTGTTGTGGCCACCCCCGGTCGCTGGCTGGGCGAGGCTGGGCTTTGTCTTCCGCGGCCCCGCCCAGTTGCTGTCCAGGGACACTCATCTGGGCAGTGGCCAATTCCCCTGCAGTTCTTCTCAGCGTTTCCTAAGGCACCTAGAGGGGAAATGCCCCTGGTCGCCGCCCCGAGGCCTGTCTCTGGGTTCCCGGCCTCGCGTGTGGCCCACACCCCTGGCCTGAGCATCAGAGGGTCCTTTTGGGTTTGGAAGCCTCACGTGATGGCCGCCACCTGTGAGGGGCAGGGAGGCAGGGTCTGTCTCAGTCTTATTTAACCGTCTCTCCCAGCAGGAAGGGAGACCTGGAGAACAGGGATCAGGAGCACCCTGCAGGCCTTAGTGAGACCCCAGGCCTTTCTCTGTCGTGGCCTCAACCCTACGGACCCCGCAAAGGGCTGGCCATTGTATTTCACTCCAGAGGCTGGAATGAGTAAAGGGTTTCTTGCGAGCCCAGATCTTGTTCCATTAGCTGCGCGCCGCGGAGTTAATGCCTCAGCCCTCAGGAACCAGGTGGTACCGGCCGCAGAAGCGCCACCTTGTGGCTGAAGCGCATCTTGACTTCAGCTGGGTCAGGGAATGGCTCTCCTGCCCTTACCCAGGAGGCAAATTAGGAAAACATACCACACGTTCCCTGAGCAGACAAAGTTCCTTGAGGTGAAGTTGTTTAACCGGCACACTGGGGGCTTCGCGGCAGACAGCTTTCTCCCTGCACAGCGAAGCCAGGAAATGGGCCCATTTTATTAAGCCCCGCCCCGCCCTCACCCCAAAGGCCTTGGCCCAAGTGAATCTCACCGCGGGAACATGTCCTGTCCGGGAAGGCAGAGCACGGAGCTGCCGCGTAGATGAGTGAGGAGGCTGGCTGGCGGAAGTGGCTTCTTCGGGAAGAGCAGGCCCCGCAACCCCAGGGCTGTGTTGATGTAGTCACCCTGATCATGTGTGCTAACCGTTCTGTCCCTAAGCCTCCTCATGACTGCAGGTGACTGTCGCTTTTTCATGCTTTCTCACCCGTCATTTTCTTTCTGTCGGCCACTAGCTAAGGAACACATACGGCGTAATCGGCAGAGTCGGACCTTTTTGGTGGAGAATGTCATAGGAGAAATCTGGTCCGAGCTGGAGGAAGGTAGCGTTCTTGCCCTTGCTGGACTCACGTGTGTGTGCTGCTGACAAAACGGATTCCTGTTTCCTCCTCTTGCACTTTGAGAAAAATATTCCAAATCAGTTGGCTATCAAGACCACTGCTCCAGGGAGTGGGGAAAGCTCTCTTTGGAGCTTGGTTCTGCATGTTCTGAAATCATGTGGACCAGATAGACAAATAGGACTTGGAACCCCCCTCTTCTGGAGGAAGAGGTGCAATTAACTTGGCAGGGAGCGGCCCACTTTCCCATGCTGGGTCTGCGGCAGCGTGTGACATGAGTGTTTGGGTCCTAAAGACCACCCCTCCAGGTCCTTTCTCATCCATGCTAACCAGACCTCACTGCATTCTCCTTAGTCTCCAGTAACTCACTGTGTGTTAATTAGCAACACCACTGCACTAATAAGAGGTGTCGATGTCACTTGGCTGGGTTTACCAAGTCCCACCCACCGGGCCCTTTCAAAGGCGGGGTGGAGAAGCCATCTGTGTAAAGGATGACTGTTCCTGTCCCAGGTGACAAGTATGTGGTGGTGGACAGTGGCGGTGGCACCGTAGACCTGACAGTGCATCAGATACGGCTACCTGAGGGACACCTTAAAGAACTGTATAAAGCAACAGGTGAGACCCTGCAGGACCGTCTCCTTCCAGACTTCTCAGCGGTTCATTCTCTCGGGACCACCAGCACGTGGCTAACTCAGGACATTGCTGCCTGTGTGAGAGCAAAATACAGTGTTACTGAAAACACAACCTATTGTGATTTGGGTTTTGGCATAAAATGAGCCTGGTTCCGATCCTGGCCAAGGGATTCTGTCTTGGAAGTTCTGCAGGGATGTGATTGTGGTTTGGATAAACAGCCTATGGGGTTCCCAGGACACACAGGCTTGGGTTGGGGTGGCCACAGCAGCAGATCTTTCCGTGGTAGAGGCCGGACTGAGGGGGAGATCGTCGTGGGGGCTGGGGAGACCTTCTGGCTTTCTAAGCCGCCCTTGGATTTCACAGGCAGGAAGACCAGAAGATGCCTGTGGGACACTGGGAATGATTTATTGAAAGTAGAATTGATTTTGAGGATTGTTGACACGTGATTTCTGTAGCGAAGGTTTCTGCATGCGGAAATAGAAGAACTTGAGGGCCTTAAAGTGCCTAGTGCAAGCCAGCTTGCACGCGAGGCCACGTCTGAGCTGTGTTGTGACTCAGGGGAGCAGAGCTGGGGGCTTCTCCCGCCTGGGGCTCGGCGCGTGACGGTCTTTGTTAACACAGCGGGCTCCCATTTTGTCTTCGACTCAGGTGGCCCCTACGGATCCCTAGGAGTGGACTATGAATTTGAAAAGCTTCTGTGTAAAATATTTGGAGAGGATTTTATCGAACAATTCAAAATCAAGCGTCCGGCAGCCTGGGTCGACTTAATGATTGCCTTTGAGTCGCGTAAAAGGGCCGCTGCCCCCGACCGCACCAACCCTCTGAACATCACCCTCCCTTTCTCCTTCATCGACTACTACAAGAAGTTCCGCGGGCACAGCGTGGAGCATGCCTTGAGGAAAAGCAAGTGAGTGACTCACCCTTGGCTTGGGAAATTCCGGGGGAGAGGGGTGGTTGTGATGGGGAGGAGGGAGGGACTTGGCCTCTGCTTCCGATCCTACACACTTGCTGTGTGACCTTGGGTGAGTGACTCAACCTTTCTGTTCTGCCATTTTGTCATCGGAAAGTAGGGACGATAATTCCATTTACCTCAAAAGGTTGTCGTGAGGCTGACATGAGTCCATATGTGGTAGGGATTTGGCAAAGCCTGCGGCGTGGCAGGTACTGAGTAAGTGTCACCTCAGGAACATAAGCGTTATGAAATGGGGGGTCTGGGGCTGGCCATTTGGTTGCTGCTTTTCTCCCCACGTCCACAATAGCAGGCGGGCACATCATCACTTGGACAGTATCTGTGGGCTTCTGGAGATCCTGCTTCCCTGAGTCTCTTGGCTGTAGACAAGTGATGGTAGCTCAGCAGGTTGCCAAATGAACGTGTTTGGAAGATTTTTTGAAGTTGAAATTCAAAACTTCCAAGACAAAAATCTTGGATTTCTGAAGCTCTTTATAGTGGAAAACGCCAAACACTAGGGATGATGAATTCACCATCCAGTTTCAACCTCTGAATCCTATCTGCCCCGGTTATTTCAAGCAAAGCCCCCTAGATCACCCTCTAATACAAAAATGTAAAGGAGGGATCTCTATATCATAACTTCTGATGCTGTCATTGTGGAATCAGTAACTGCATCAACAATCCAGTTACGGTTAACATTTTTCTAATCGCCACAGAAGGATTTTGTTAATGTCTCTTTGCTTTGGCATGGGAATGCGGCTGCTCACGGCAAGGGTTGCCCCGGGAATCCCAGGGTAGGCAGCCTCCCGTCCAGTTTTTTCTTGATGCTTACTGGATGACAAAATTGAGTCTTTGTCCTACAGGCTTCCTCTGTCTGGGTTTGGCTCGCTGCAGGCCCTGGAATGGGTTCCTCTGCCCCTGGCGGTTTTACAAATTGGCAGATTAAGGCTCAATCAGGCTCAAGTACCAGCTTATGTCCAGTCTCCTTCCTGGAGCAGGGGGTGGGGGAGGGGAGGGTCTCCTTCCCACTGTCACATCCGGGGACTCGGAGCTTTGCTGGTGGACAACTCGGCGCTCTCAGCGCCAGACAGTCGTAGCCTTCCTTTAAGGGGTGGCCAGTGGCGACCTCTAGCCCACCACTCCTCCCGCTACTGCTCAACTCGGTCCACTGGGAGAAACTTCCCTCCTCAATGGCTCTGTGGCTCTGCGCCCAGTTCACGCAGCAGAGACAGGCTACGTGCTTGGCTTTCCCCTCCACTTCTAAGGCTTTTTAAAGCCTGAGTTGATTTCCGCGCATCCTCCAACGTGGCTGGCTGCTTGTTTGGGGTACAAAGAGGGCATCATTAAGGAGCCATAGAAAGAAGCCTCCCGGTGCCCTTTGAAACCGGGCAGTCACATCTCCGAGCTGCCCACATTGTTCCGTCTGGGCCAGAAGGAGCCTTTCCGCCTTGGCTCCTGAGTCCGTTGCCATGACGTCCGTGGTCTTTGCCTTCTGGGATGTGAAGATGTCCCTGGGAATCGCGTGCATTTCTACCTAAGACCTCACCTTGGCCGTTTCTCTAAGAAGGCCTGGTTCCTTTAGTGGGGGACAAGCAGGTTTGATTCAGGATCTTCTTGTTTGGACAGAGTCATACTGGGCTGATGTTCTCTCGCCCACAGAGGATACCTACTCCTCCTCCTTCCCTGACTAGGGAGAAGGGTGCAGCCAGGTGTGGGGTCACTCCATACCCACATGACTTTTGGCCTAGGCCATGGAAAGAATTCCTAGTTGGAAGACTTGGCCACAACTTGATTATGAGGTGGGGAAGCAGCTGGTGTGACCTCTGCTCAGGGTCAGGGTACTGTTCACTTGGCCCCTCTGAATTTGAGCACGGATGAGGTAACCTGACATAGACGGGGCACGCTCTCTAATAAACAGCCGTGCCTTTTCTTAGTGCCGGGAAGTTTCCAAAGTGTTTTCCCAGATATGGTATCGTGCTTGTCTTCACAGCAGCCCTGGAGGGTCCAGGAAGTGGTAGTGCCCGTGGCTTCTAGACGGGAAGCCTGGAGCTCAGAGACAACACAGGCCAGCTTGCCTGGAGTCCCATAGCTGCTGGGGGGTCAGGCCAGGCTGGACCTCCACAGGCCCCGCTCTGCCCCCCCGTGGTCAAGCTGCTCTGTGGCAGAGACAATGAGGACATCCAGTAGGGTAGGGCTGGCTGTTGTCCTACGGCAGGTGTCTGAGGGGCTGAGGGGGACACACCTAGCCCGCAGGTGTGACACTTCCTGTGGCAGTGCAGTGGACACATCATCTGAACCTCTGTGGACTCCAGTCTGTCTATTGCTGGATTGCAGGTGTGGTTATCAGAGAAAGAGGGGGGCCCTTGAGTTGCCTCCTGGCCTCCCTCAGCCTTTGGCTCCCACTGATCTGAGGGAAGGCTGGCCACAGACACGAGCAAAGTGGAACGGAAGGGCTTATGTCTTAGCTGCAGCGTGCCTGAGGGTCGGGTCGTCGTGGCACTTCGGGGTATTTATTTCCAGGGACTTCCAAACCCGCCCTGCCTGAGATGAGCCGCTGACTGCCACGGCCGTGCCCTGAGGCCCCCTGGGTACGGGTCAAACATTTCCGCTTGTTTCTCTGTGCCACGCCCCTGCAGTGTGGACTTCGTCAAGTGGTCCTCGCAGGGAATGCTGCGGATGAGCCCGGACGCCATGAACGCGCTTTTCAAGCCGACCATCGACAGCATCATTGAGCATCTCCGTAAGTAGCAAGCAGGTGGACACGCTAGGGGGCGAGGCCCAGCCAGCAAGGGGCTGACTTCCCCGGCATCACCAGCCAGTGCGAAGTCAAGTCGGCGGTAGCGCTGGGCTGGAGTCCCGGGCGCAGAGGGACCCAGGCCCCAGGCCCCAGATGGAGGCCCCCATTCTGCCCCCCAGGTACCTTGGAGCAGGGAGCAGCCGACAGCTTGTCTTCACCTGGGCTTTCAGTCTGGCTTCAAAATCAGAGAGTGATTAGCTTCCAGCGATGGGCCCAGGGATCCGCAAGCCCTGCTCCTGTGGGACAGGGCAGGAGTCATGAGTGCTGGGAGTGGCCGGAGAAAGGTCCCCCACACAAGGCCCTGCGGTCCCCCACACAAGGCCCTGCCGCTAAGGGCTGTGTCTGTGGCCTCCTGCAGGCTCCACTCCCGGAACTGTTTTCGGTATCCAGGTGCCCTCCACTTCCACTGCTCCCCAGCCCAATCACAGCCCCGGGGGAGGGGCTTTCTGGAAACCAAGGCGTACTATTACTGTGCCTTCCCCAAAGCCCCTGCTCCCCGCAAGCCTTAGGCCTGAAGGCTCACAGCTCAGCCCCATCACCGGATTTCCGTCTAGCTTCGGTTTTCATTCCTGAGCCGACTGGGGTGCAAACCCCGTTCTTTAAGAGCCCAGCTCTGCACACACTCCTTCCAGCCAGCCGAGACTAGCTTGTCCGCCCAAGTGCTGTGATCCATCCCCCACCTTCTCAGCTCACCCAGTCCCCCACCCCCACCCCCGCCTGCGGGTCCCTGGCCACAGGACATCATTGTCCCTTTCTCCTCTCCTGCAGGCGACCTGTTCCAGAAGCCCGAGGTGTCTGCCGTCAAGTTCCTCTTCCTGGTGGGCGGCTTCGCCGAGGCGCCGCTGCTGCAGCAAGCCGTGCAGACGGCCTTCGGGGACAAGTGCCGCATCATCATCCCCCAGGACGTGGGCCTCACCATCCTCAAGGGGGCCGTCCTGTTCGGCCTGGACCCCGCCGTCATCAAGGTGCGCCGGTCCCCGCTGACCTACGGGGTAGGCGTGCTCAACCGCTACGTGGAGGGCAAGCACCCGCCCGAGAAGCTGCTGGTGAAGGACGGCACGCGCTGGTGCACCGACGTGTTCGACAAGTTCATCTCTGCCGACCAGTCCGTGGCCCTGGGCGAGCTGGTCAAGCGCAGCTACACCCCAGCCAAGCCCTCGCAGCTGGTCATTGTCATCAACATCTACAGCTCCGAGCACGACAACGTGAGCTTCATCACCGACCCCGGCGTCAAGAAGTGCGGCACGCTCCGCCTGGATCTCACGGGCACCGGGGGCCCCGCCGTGCCCGCCCGCAGAGAGATCCAGACCCTCATGCAGTTCGGGGACACCGAGATCAAGGCCACGGCCGTGGATATAGCCACTTCGAAGAGTGTCAAGGTTGGGATTGACTTCTTAAATTACTAACTGATCCTCCCCACCACGGCCCTTGGTCTCAGCTCACCTGCATCTGCTGACCTGACTGTTCTTCCCTGCCCTTGACCCCTGCCACCGCCCACCTGAATTTCAGCAGGGAGGATGAGAACCACCAGGGACAGAAATAACTCGGGATTTTTGAGGGCACGCTGGAGTCAGAAAAGCTGGGGGCAATTGAGGTTGAGGTCTGGGAATACGAAAGCCAGAGTTCTAGAAGAGCAGCTCATTTCATAGGTACCGAGTGGTGGAACCCAGGAGGGCGTCGCCTGGTGCACGCCAGCCGTGGAGATGGCTTTCAACAGATCTGATTGGAGAGGGCCCTAGAGCTATCGTTCTAAACTGGAAGTGAGAGTGTGGAGCCAGGAGATGCTTCATGGCTTTTTCGTTTTTTGAATGGCAGTCAGTCTGAAAGGCCATCCATCTGCAGTCATTTCTCTTTCTATGCCAAGCTCTAATTCTCAGAATGGCAAGTTCTGATGTCTGAATCCTTAAGTAATTCTGGTTCATATCAGTAAGCGTCTGTGAGAAAATGAGGTTGCCGTTTGCCTTGCTCACATCGCCCCGCTCAGGAGTGGCACAGCCCTGACCTTGAAAGTCGTGCCTGTTTTAAGTGAACTCCCCTCTCACTCCTCCCCTCTCACTCGCATCTCGCTAAGCGTTTTCGCTATTTATTCCCACACTTGGAGAAGACTACATGGGTGAGACATGGGCAGGGAATCTGCATTTTTAAAAGCCTGCCCGAAAGGAGTTGGTAGATGTCGATGCATTAAACCAAGGCATTTGAAAGTAGATGTCCTTGGGCCCACTTGCCTGGGAACTCGCTCGCTCTGGTTGAAACTGGTTCCTGGCACTTTTCCCTTTTACAAATGGAAGCCAAGTTTTGGAGAGCAGAACCAGAATCATGGGGAACACCCTTCCACTGGGTTTTGTGGTGTGTGAGCATATAGCTAGCTAGCATCTGCACCCCGCGGGCCTCTCTTGGGTCAACGGTTTGCCAGTGCAGGGTGGCGCTGATGCACTCTTGTTGGCTTGTGGGTCCAGTCAGGCCTCCATCTGGCTTGAGAATGGTGGCTTTCGCCTCATGGGAAGGGTTTGGGGAGGAAAAACAAGGGGAAAAAAGGCACCCCAAGAACAGGGCTGCCTGAGGAACCATCTGGTAGGTCTGCGATAGTCCTTTCTTCTGCACTGTGCATTCAGGAACCAAATGAGGAAAGATCAAGAATCTCAGTCAGGCAGTCTCATCTGTTCAAAGCTGTTTCCCACCTGCTGGGATACCTTGCAGTGGAAATCACTAGAGGTATGCGAATGAATGGGAGATAAGTGAGACTTCAGCAGCAAGTTGGAAACACCAACTCAGCCTCATAGCCAGTATGCAGATTTTAAACTAACATTTCCAATTTCATTTTAACATGTCTTCTTTCCACATCACCTGCTGCAGAACTCCCTTCTAGAATATAATATGAAGCTCCAGCCAGCCGCAGAACCAGAGAAAGCTAACTGAACAGCAGGGCTTTGTATGCAGGCCTGAGGTGGGTTTGCAAGGGTTCGCTCGCTGCCCGCTCTGCTTCCAGCTAAATGTGATGGTTCTTTCTTTGGTGTTTCCAGCCATGCTCCACAAAATAAGACTTTTCAATTCGTTATAAGTAATATAATTTTATGTACATACGCTAGACGATTGTACAGATTATTTCTACAACGTGCTTTTCTTGTTAAAAAAAGAAAAATGCTCTTCGAATTTTGTTGGTGATATTGCTGCCTTTAATTTTCCATGGTTTCATGTAATTGTGCTTACAAGCCATTGACTTTTACTGATACTAAGTTATGGGTTAGTTCGCAAGGCCAAGCAAGAGATGAGGTCAGATACGCTGTGTGGATGGATCACTTGGGACATCAGCTTCATCAGAACTTTCTCCACCATACCCTTCCCAAAATCTCACAGTTTATATTTAAAGGAGCATAATAGATGGATTCTCCTGTCCAGTCTTAGGTGGCTGAACATTCTGATTCTAGAAGCAGTGTGACAGAGAAAACTACACAATCTTTTGCATCTCTGCCCTCCCCCTGTGGGGCCAAGTGGGCTCTGAGGGCAAGGGTGGTCCACCATGTGATTTTTTTCAGGGTACCAAGGTCAAAGGAAGGACTCAGGGTGCACATTCCAGCCGTTGCACCAGTTTGAGTGTGTAACGTAGCCAAGTCCCTGTGTCAGGCTAACGTAAGGCCGTTCCCAGTGTGCATTCGGATGTCTCCTTGTCTGTTTCTCTCGAATGAGTTGATTGACGCCACAGTATTGGCAAAGAGGGGGGAGGTGATAATGTAGCTGGACTTTCTTCTGGCCGTAGAGATGCAGCCCCAATAATCAAACTCCTTAAAAGGGAGCCCTAAATCCATCCCTCCTCCCTCCTGTCCCCACTGAAATATTCTAGAGTAAAAGCCCCGGATAAGTACACTTGGACACACTTTGTAATCTTAGCAAGTTTCTCAAAGGCCTGTTATCTTGATCCATTACCCTGGCATGTATCTGATGTCCATGTTTCCTGGAAGCAGATCTGTCAAAGAATTTCCTTTGTGACTGCTCTTCTGTACACAGCAGGCATTAATAAATGCTGGATGACAGACATGTTATAGACGGATGAGATGAGAAAGAGCAGCAGCAAAATAGGTGCTTTTCTCCAGTGATGGCTAAGATGAGTCCAGATGACAAAGCCTGCCTTATCCTTAGAATGTTACTTAGATCAAGTTTAGCTTTTAGAGCCCAGGTCTGGTTAATTGCCAGGTAGCAAAGAATCGCATGCACCAATATCAACAGGAGTTAAAAATGCATTATTAGTTGAAGATCGAATTTCACATGGTAGAGATGAAGTTGCTGTGATTAAGCTGCATATTCATGCTGGGAAATGACTCACGTGAATGACTGGTACCATTGTCGGCCATAAAGTCCCATCTCTCATCTGCTTGGAATATGTAATATATTCTAAACAATCCGCCATTGGGGTGTTGTTCACTACAAGATAAATTCAAACTTTACTGAACTTTGCAGCAGTTCACAACTTGACAAGATCAAGTATTTGCAAACTCTGTCTTCAAAAATGTCTAATAAAACAAAACTTTGGATCTCATGTGACGTAGGCTGGTTTTTTGGGGGGGGGAGGGAAGGGACTGCAAATTTGTAAATACAACTGTAGACACATCATCACCACCTCTACACCCCACCTCCAGTGGAGACTGACTTCAGGCTGGGTGTTGTGGGTGTGGTTAGCATCCGTTCTAACCAGATTTGGCCCCTTTGATGGGAACCAGCTGTCCACAAGCCCATTTCCCACTAACCTAGAAGAAAGCTGCCTTGCCAGAGAGAAGTCAGATATGCCGGGGTGGCCGCTGTTGGTAAATACCAAAGCCAGAGCTTGGGAGGAATGCCGACAGGCCAAAATGATAGCCTCTAGACCCTTGGGTTTATTCCAGGACTATGTCCTGGGTCACCTTCCAGAGGGTTCCAGAAGCTTCTGGGAAGTCTGAGGTAGGGGATCCTTCCTACCTGGCTAGTGGCATCAGCCTTCATATGACGTTTAATTCCTGGGAGGGTGTGTGAGGCAGTTCCCTACAGGAAGCAGCTGGGACTGGCAGCCTGGGTGAAGGCACCCAGCCCCTCTGTGTGGGTCACACAGTGGGCGACTCCGTGGCTTCAATCCAAGGAGGTGTCAGCTCCCATAAACTAAGGTTGCTTAGAAAGTACTGTGGCTCCACCACCGGCCCTGCCCCCAGCACCCCCCCCCCTTTTTCTTGGGGACCTGCCCCCTTCTCCCCTATTCCTGTCCAGGCCACCTGCAGCCCAGCCTTTCCTGCCAGACAGAAGAGAAGGGGGAGAGAAGTGGGAGGTGAGAGAAGGTCAAGGGAAGCAAGTGTTTAGGGGTGGCTGCCATGCATCCCCCGCCTGGCAACCCCTCACCACTTACTCAGGCACAGCTAGCCACCAGGAAGGACATGAGGAAGGACATGGCCGGTTCCACTGACCCTCCTCCTGCACAGGGACCCAGTCCTGGCCTTCTGCAGTGCCTGCATCAGTAAAAAGGGGCTTACAGGGGTCCCTGCTGAGACGCCCCTCCCAAATTCCAAACCTCTGAGGGGGCCTCTGCTGGGGGAGGCTGAGCATCCAGAACTGAGAAGGGTTTCTCTGACCGAACACTTGTTTGGCAAATCCCTGGATTTCACGAAACCCCCAAATTCACTATGGTCAGCTGCTTCATCCCCAAGGGGGCTAAGCAAGGCTGAGGGGGAGGGGTGTCTGGCCCCGCCCCTTGCCCCTCCCCCCTGGCGGGGTGAGCTCACAAAGGCCAAGAAGCCTGGAAAGCTGGTCAGAGAGAGAGGCGCCCCCACTTCCCGGCTGGCTGGCATCAGATCGAGATCCCCTCGGCCTACGTGAGTAAAGTGGGAGGGGAGAGAGAGGTGAGGGCGGTTGGGGTGGAGGCTGCAAATCACCACCCCTGACCAGGCCCAAGAATAAAGGTGGCTCTGGAGGTGAGGACACCTCATTTTCCCGCCCTCCCCTCCCACTTGGGGGGCCCTGAGTCTGGCTTTATGGTCTGGCCTCGGGCACAGCTGGTGGCCATACTGTGTGCATAGGTCATAGTGGCTGGATGTGTAACAGGCAGGGAGAGGGGCACCCGTGAACCCCCAAACCTGCCTGCTCTAAATAGGTTCTGCCATCCGCCACTTCAAGACAAAACATATGAGACTTTAATGAACAAGAACTTTAATACAATGAGTATACAACACGGAAGACAAAGAATGTAATTTCTGAATCAAACACCTGAAGTTATCCGTCCCCTCGTGGGCAAAAGTCAAGCCCAAAGGGACTAGTCCAGAGCAAGGCCTGAAAGCTGACACAAGACCTTCTGGCCGGGACCTATAGAAAAGTCCAGACAAGTCTGGGAGGAAAAGAACACAATCAAAACCAATATAAACACTGCCACAGTCACCTCCTCACGGGTCTCTCACCCACATCTCTTTCAACCAGTCCAGGGCCAAGAAATAAACACGGTTTCTCACATGCCTCCCTTTGCTCCACAGGCTTCCTCAGGTCTCCTGGTTCCCCATCCTGCTTCCTTCTTCCTCAGATTCCTTCCCTTCCCTTCTTTTCTTTTTCTCTCCTCAACTCCAACCTCCCTCTGGGTGGGACAGGGAACCTGGAACTTCCCTTTTCCTGGGGACCACCGTGTTACAGATGGAGGGGTGGCTGAAGGTGGGGTGCTTGGCAGGAAGCCCCCAGGAAAGGCACAATGCTGGAGAATGAGGGCCTGCTTGCACGCATGTCATCCAAGTTTGTGCCCAAGGTCAGGGCCACTTGGCATCAGAGTGGGTTTTCCCCCTGAAACAGCGACACCTGCTGGCTGGCGTCAGATGGCAGTGCTGCCTCTCCAGCCCACCCGCTCCGGCAGGTTATTCTCTTCCCAAGGTCTCAAGCTCATAGGCTGAGCTCTCCAGGCAGGGCCATTGATGGGACCATTTCATTCCCTCTTCCCTTCATTCATAGAGAGCGAAATCATGGAGTCCTCCAAGACCTTCATGAGAAACCTGCCGATCACACCTGGCTACAGTGGTAAGTGGCCTGTGTCCTGCCCAGGTGGCTGGTAGAAGAATCGTGGTCCTGGGCGCTGCCCCAGCCTGGCTCACTGTCGGCGTCTGTCTAGCTGATGGGGCCAGAGCTGGTGCTGTAGCTTTTAGAACACACCATGAGGGCGTCCCACAGCTGCCATCTGCTGGTGGCTGGTTCCGGTGAATGGAGACATGACTTCGGGCAGGTCACCAGCACATGGCGTCTGTTGAATGAACTTGGACCCCGTTAGCCACAATGTTGTGAGGACAGTGAGGAGTGAAGCCTCGTCTTTCCGCCTCTGGGCTCTCTCTGGTCACACTAGGGCTGCTCCTTCCTTTGTCCCTTAGAGGGAAGGTGACCAAGTGCCTGGTGTGCCTGGAGCAGTCCCAGTTTCAGTGGTGAAAGTCCCGTGTCCCAGGAGAACCCTCGGGCCTTGCCATACTGGGACACTGGTCACCCTACAGCCGCCTCCACCACCTCCTCACACTCCTCCACGGGCTTTAGGGCTACTGAGAACTTGCTAAGTCTCGTTCCTGTGGTTGATGAACCAGTGCTCCCACAGCTGTGTGTCCTCAGGATTGAGGCTTGGGAAGAGGCCACGGTTAACCAGACTCACCCTTGCCCTACAGTTTGGTTAAGGGAGCAGATTCTGGGGTCTCACAAGCTAAGTCTCCAGTCTGCTTGGCTGTGGCCAGGTGATTATAGAAATTCTTACACAAAATGGGCTTTACATAAAATAGTTTCTAGGGCTGCCATTGAAAACATCTGCTGTTCTCTCACCATTCTAGAAGTCTAAAGTCAAGGTGTGGCCAAGGCCAGGTACTTTCTGATGGCTTGGGGAGATCTTTCTTGCCAGGGGTGCCCTGGCTGCCAGTCTCTGCGTCCACTTCACATGAAGTCATGTGCCCTTCTGCCTGGGTCCACATGTCTATGCTGTGGTCTCAAACCTCCATCTCCCTTCTCTTGTGGGGACACTGGATATTCCAAATAGCGCCTCCCCTTTATCCAGAATGCTCTCACATTTAGATCCTTTGTTACGTCCGCAATGACCCTGTTTCAGATGGTCACATTCACAAGTACCAGGGTTTGAACTTGGAAGGATGCGTCTCTTAGGGGCCTCAGCTAGCCCACTTGGGGTCGTGAGAGAGTCCTTGTAAGACTCGTGTGAGGCTGAAAGGGTCCTGCATACAGACATGCTTAAACTGCTTCAACCTCTGGCAAACCTTGGTCAACGTAGCTTGTATGTCTCTGGGTGTGCACAGACAGTCACATAAGGGCTGTGCAGATCAAATCAGCCCCGAGGAAAGAGAAACAACGTGGCAGGACCCCTGAGTTCCTAGGTGTCCCCCACACCAGGAGGGTGTCTTCGTTGCCTCAGAGCTGGGGAGGCTGGGTGGTGGGCCACTGACCTCCAACCCCATCAAGACAAGTTTAGCAATTAGATTCTTGGAGAAATGCTCCTTGCATATTGCAGGGGACAGGGTGAGGGTTCTGCCTTCAACTCTGAAGCCAGGTTTTCTTGGCGGAGGGACAACGGCAATCGTTTAGGCTTTGACAAGAGCTGTTTATTGTTTATTTGGTAGCGTAACACAAAGTTCTTAACCAGCCTTTCCTCAATTTGTTTTTTTTTAAAAAATGGCTTGTTTTATTGTGACAACATGACAGTACTTAGGATTCAGCATCCAGTTTAAATGCATAGTTGTGTTTTACTCACACTAATTGTAATGATTCCATGTTATTTTGTCAGAAATGGTAAAAAATTGTGCTGGGGTGGGTCTCGCAGATAATGAATTTACCTTTTCAGGTAATAGGTCTCTGCTTTTAATAAACCCACAATTTCCTGATGGTCCTACAAGAACCAAATTGCAATTGGGAAGTATCAAGGAAAATGGGCTTTCTCTCTAAAAAGATGAATAATTTCAATTACACCTTAGACGATCATTTTGGTCCATTAAATGCTTTCCCCATTTGCTGTTCTCACTGACACACGGGGGGTTTGCTGTCAAAGAATATTACTGTCGTTACTTTTGTTGAAATGGGCCATCCATGGGCCCTGCCTGGGTGAAAGTTAAACTGCAAGTGAGCTGCAGCCCCTTCAATGCGAGTTGGGTCCTCGGCCCCGGAGGTGACCCACACGGCGCGGCAGACCTCTCCTGACCCGCCCGCTGCTCCCCTCAGCCGTGTACATCATCAGTCTGCCTGTTCTGCTCCCCACTCTGCCTCTGGTGACTCCTCTCACCGCTCCTGCTCCTCTGGCCTGTACCCCAGTTCTGTATGCACAAATAAAAAAGAGAAAAAAGAAAAAGAAACAGGCCGTCCCTCCCCAGCTCCAAGGTCACTTTTGGTGGCCTTGGGAGGCTCCCACATTGTGAACACAACAGCATTGCCTGTGTGAATGACCTTTGGAAAGGTGAGTGTCGGGGAGGAAGGAGTTGAAGCGGGTGGCTGGGGGCCCCGGAACACGGGCAGACTCTGAACCCCTCGCTGAGGCTGCGACTCTGGTTCTCACAGGCTTCATACCGTACCTCAGCTGCCACGGGATCACGGACGAGAACGACATGTCGCAATGCCTGCGAGTCTTCCAAGAGAACACTCAGCGCTATAAAGACCAGCAGGAGGAGTTTTGCTGCGCAGTGGCCACAGCCCCGATACTGAAGCCCATGTGCTCTGAGGAGGCGGTTCTGCGGACCCTGCACCAGTACTACCGGCAGTACCACCCCTTGAGTCTGGGTACCAGCTCCTGGACCAGCCCCCCTCACTCCTGGGGCCCAGTCCCGGGTGCCCCTGAGCTGCCATAGAGTGGAATCCCGCAGTCCCTGATCAGCAGGCGGCAGTGCGCAATGGAAGGACTTAGCTTTTTCCTTCCCTCC